AAGGTGGCGGCGACCTTGTGGCTCACTGAACCGATCAATGGCTAGCACACTCAAGTGAGTGTATAAACACAGCGAAAGTAGAGCAAGACCAGCTGCTGCTGTTGCTGCTGCTGTGCAAGGCTACCACTGGCGGATTAATTGGCAGATTTGCAATAGGAGCTCTTCTCTGAAGCTCAGAAGCTCAGAAGCTGCAGAAGAGGAGATAAGGTGAAGAGGAGAAGGAGGAGGAGGAGTGCACGGCATTGGAACGTAACGTGTGCACGTAGACACTCGCCACGTTATTCGCTGCCTTCAAGACACTAGCGGCACTAGCAGCACTCATTCAATTTCACAAACTGCCAGTTGGCAGGCTTGGGCACCAGTCCAACTGTAAGGAACACCGAAGAATGTTCCTTCTCTCACTTAGACAGCGTAGAGAAAGCTCACAGTGCAAGCCAGTGACAGGCAAAAAAATGTGTCTAAACAAGTGAAGAGGCAGCAAGTGAAAAGGCTTGAATAGTATTGAGATAATCGAGTTGGTTGAACACAATTGCTCAAAGATTGAGTTTGTTGTTTCAAATTTGTTCTAGCACAGGTTGTTCTTATTAAAAGGTAACATGTTGTGAACAGTAAATCATTGGTAATGGAAAGCAGTTGCTGGCAACTTTGGCAGTACAGAAATGTTGGCAGATTATAAAATTAAAGTAATGAAAATTATAAAATCAGCTGAGAAATTAAATGTCAATCTCTGCAAACTCGCTATCAATAAGTAAATCGCCAATGTTAACGCCGTCCTTGGTGAGGATACAATACAGGAGGCCGCTTGAGCCGTTAGAAATCGCGCAGACACTCAATCGAGAAAATTTGACTTGGTCTCTGAAAAACTCATTAGCTTCTCTGCTCCACTTTTCAGAGGTAGGCTTGACAACTGCAAAAACAATGATACATGATTACAAATTTTTTTCTAAAAGCAGATGCGACTTACAAGCGAGAGATGCTTTAATGGCTCGAGGTGGCTCGTACTTGAACTGGCTATCAAGCTCAAAAATGTCCTCCTTTTTGATGGTGCCAATGACTCCCTTGTCAAAGAGCAGACAGGAGAAGTGACCTTCCTTGAAGGGAGTGAGGATGAGCAGACGAGTCAGCTGGTCATTGTAGCGTGTAGTGTACAGCTCGTTGGTGTTAATTGGGTCGGCTTGTTCAGGTGGACTGTCCTTGTAAAAGGCATTCATCTCGTCGACGAAAGCTTTAAAGCGGTCATCTTTTTCAAGCTTCAAGTAAAACTCAAAGGGATTGAAAACTTGCTGGCACTTCATAGTCAAAGGCTTCTCGCCTTCATAAGTGCCCTCTTCCACTGGCAGTACGAATCGAGGCGTGTCCACTTTGATGCGGTACAACTTGGCAAGTGTTCCAGTTTCAGTGGCTTCAATGTGTGCCCTCATAGCGTCGCTTACCTTGTTATGAGGTAAATCGGTTGCATGCTTGATAAACTCGACCANATAGTCAAAGGCTTCTCGCCTTCATAAGTGCCCTCTTCCACTGGCAGTACGAATCGAGGCGTGTCCACTTTGATGCGGTACAACTTGGCAAGTGTTCCAGTTTCAGTGGCTTCAATGTGTGCCCTCATAGCGTCGCTTACCTTGTTATGAGGTAAATCGGTTGCATGCTTGATAAACTCGACCAAAAAGTCGTTGACAGACACCTCGCTTAGTTTCCGGTCTTTGTAGCTCAGACGTATCTTATTGTTATCAGTGATGGTAATGGAAAAGTTGGTCTTAGTATTGGCCACTTTCTGCAGGCCATAGTTGATGATGTATTGCATCTTTCTGTCGCAGTCTAGTTCAATGTNAAAAAGTCGTTGACAGACACCTCGCTTAGTTTCCGGTCTTTGTAGCTCAGACGTATCTTATTGTTATCAGTGATGGTAATGGAAAAGTTGGTCTTAGTATTGGCCACTTTCTGCAGGCCATAGTTGATGATGTATTGCATCTTTCTGTCGCAGTCTAGTTCAATGTCAAGTGGCAGAGTGTACGCTTGAGAGGGCTCCTTCAGGTAATCTTCATTAGAGTTTAGAATCAAGTCTTTTTCGCTAGCCATGCAAGTGAAGCCTTCGTCAATTAGTTGGACGTAGTACTGCAATAAAAATTTTTTTTAGCATTATTTATTTTAGAGCAAACAAAAACGAAAACATTACGGTTTTGCCTGGCCAATCTTGAAGAACTTTTGCCCGATGGTACAATCCTTGGCGGTGGAGAATATAAAGATGATCTTTTACGGTCTCTTCTGGCACGGAATCAATAAAAGTGGTAACTCTTCCAGCGTAGTAGCGCTGCAAATCTTTAAAGAGAAACACATAATCTTCCTAAACAAAGAGAACAGATACAAATTAGAATTATACAAAATAAACGTGTACAAAAGCGGTACAAACCATATTGTCAATCAAACGGAAGCAAATCTTGTTCATGGACACCACCTTGGTGATGTACACCGGGTGCGGTACTCCCTTTTGGGGCAACGGCAATGATTCAATGGTAAAAGGCATGGCTTTTGAAGAATAATATCGAAAAGAGGTAAACTAGAAATACAATTTTTCGGCGGTGGTTCGGCCGAGCATAAACAATCGAAGCTAGCCCGTAGAAGACAACTGCCGCTCAAATCTCAACAACTTATCACAAGTGACTCATCACAAGGTCTCATCAATGCAGCGCCCTCCAGCTGCAGAAGTTTAGCAAGTTGTTATCTTGATCGACTTTAAAAAAAATCGTGCAAAATTCGCTAGTAATGATGCATTGGCGGCATCTTGTGAGGTGGTTTAAGAAAGGCAAATTAAAACAGTAGCATCAGCATCAAACAGTGGGAAACAAGCCTGAAAAGCCAAGTTTATTTACCACCCAACCGATTAACCAACTAAAACTTCTTTTGTTAACTGGACTTTTGTGGTACTTGGCAAGTACCACACAATTAATAGGAAAAGCAACAAGTATTTTTTTCGGTGACTAGATGTTAACTCATTTGCATTTTATTTTGATCGATTTAAAAAGGGTGACATTCTAGAAAAGGGTAATAATACAATCAGTGTCCGTTGTTGCTGTTGTTGTTGAGTTGCAGTTTGGTGGTGCTGTTGTTCTTCTCTTGCTTTGCTGGCCGTTGGCAGCATTGGTGGTAAAGGTGTTGGGCATACAGAGCTGTGTGTGTGAGAGAGAGAGTGCAATCGGATATAATAAATAATATAAATATAGAAAGCGGAAACAAGGCACAGGAGATTTGGATTGTGACAGACTGGGCGGGCAGGTGTGTTTGCTTGTCGAGATTGTGGCCTGGGATTGAGTGGTAGCGGTGAGGGGGTAAATGCCTAGTAGCCGGTGAGCTCGGCAAAGGTCTGGTCCAGCTCGTCCGAGATTGACTTGTACTTCTCCTTCTCGTGCACCAGCTCGTCTGTGGGAGGAGAGATTTGTGCAAAGAAAAAATGATTAGTTCTGGTATTATAGCAGAGACCAAAAAAAGCTCACCTTCCAGTCGGTCGACCTCCTTCTGGAGCTTCTGAACCGATCGCTCAGCAAACTCGGCGCGAGCCTCAGCCTGAAGGTGAGGGAAAGAAGGGAAAAGTAAATCTATTGTTAGAAAGTGAAAAGCTTGAAAAGAAAGGGGCAAGGGAAAGGAATGTGACTCGGAATGAAGACCAATTCAGACGATGGCATGCTTTCAGGTGTGGGGTGGCAGAAAGAGTGATCTTGATTTCTACCAAATGGCCACTTTAGCCACCACTGTTTGGACCTGCACTTGTTCTAACCTGTTGCAGCCGTCCTGACTGTGACTTGATGACGCGCATGTACTCATCTTCTTTGCTCATCGACTGACATCGATTGCCAAAGACGAGCCATTGGTCATTGGGAAGTTGAGGGCAAGGGGTGGGGAGAAAGAAAAAGGAAATGATTAGACGATGACGCCTACCTCCTTGAGCTTAGAAGTCATGATGCGGATTTGTTGCTCATAGGCCTCCTCGCGTTGTTGGGCCTAGTTATTGTTTGGTAGTAGTGGTAGTGGTAGTTGGCGTGCAGGTAGTAAAATCACAAAACATTCCAGTGGTGGTAATGGGTAAGGGGTAATGGGCAAAAGGTGTGGAAAGGGGTGAGGAATTCAAGGAATCAAACACACACACACAATGTGAGGAAACAATTGCAGATGCAGGAGGGGGAGGTAGGGAGAAAACAAGTGATCATTAGTGATTAGTTTTTTTGCAAACACCGCACCCGCAACACTGCTAGTAAAAAATTTAGAGTGCATCAGCATAGCACAGGAAAAAACTCGTACCTTCTCCTCGCTGACTTCGAGAGACTTCAGGTTGTTGCCGACGACGCGCAGCTCCTCCTCGAGCTCGACGATCTTGCTGTGATTTTGCAAATAAAAGAAGGGGAAGGGGGCAAAGGTGAGTGATCTAAATGACAAAAAAAGGACAAAAGTAGAANAAACTCGTACCTTCTCCTCGCTGACTTCGAGAGACTTCAGGTTGTTGCCGACGACGCGCAGCTCCTCCTCGAGCTCGACGATCTTGCTGTGATTTTGCAAATAAAAGAAGGGGAAGGGGGCAAAGGTGAGTGATCTAAATGACAAAAAAAGGACAAAAGTAGAATGACTTACGATTCACCAGTCTCGGCACGCTCCTCAGCGCGCTCCAGATCGGCCTCAACCATGGCCAGCTTACGGGCGACCTCATCGTACTTGCGGTCAGCGTCCTCGGCCATCAGGCGGGCCTCCTTCAGCTGGCTCTCCAGGCCGTCCATGCGCTCCTCGTCGGTGATGCTTCGGTGCTCAAGCATCTTGCGCATGCTGAAAAAGGGGAGAAAAGGAAAGGGATGGTCAGAGATTGGCGTGGACATGTTGGTCAGTAGTAGTTAATGAATTACCGCTCGGATTCATCAGCGGAATGGGAAGCCTCCTCAAGCTTGGCGGTGGCCACCTTGAGACGCTCCTCAGATCGCTCGAGGTCCTCCTCGATGAGCTGGATGCGTCGGTTGAGGGCAGCGACATCGGCTTCGGCCTATTGATGAGGGTTTGATCAAAATAGTACAGAAAAAA